CACTAGTGCCTAAAGTCTCAATAGGATGAGCAAACAGGAGTAGTCCATCCCCAAGAGTCCCCATGCCTCCACCAAAGGGTAGTCACCACAAGCTTCACAGACTCCTGCCAAAAACTGTCCCAAGTGACATCCAGCAGCTCCAGGACACTCCTTAGTTTAGAAGTGGGATAACATCCCAGACACAGGTCATTGTGACCCATGCAGCCCATGGAGATGGTGAAAGTGCATGAGTCCTGCTGTGGTGATGATCTCAAGAGAAATTACTGACACTGCAGGTAGCTAGAGACCAGGACAAGTCTACCAAAGAAAGGGAGTCTTCCAAACACTCATCCGGTCTCAAATCAGGCTTTCCTCCCCAAATTCTACAATGTGTAGGGACAGAAGAGCACATGGCCCCAGAACTGATGGTCCCTTATTCTAGATTTCATTATGGTCCTGAACCTTAGGGTGGGCTACAGCCTTCATGTCCACCAGAGTTCCATCCTTCACACAGAATGATGCCTTTATGTACCCCACATATTTCCTAAAAACCCTACCCTTCACACCTTGGGGGTCTTCCCTGATACTTACCTCCTGGTGAGCCCAATCATTTCAACCATGTGGCATGGGATTGAGCCCTGGGCATGCACCATGTCTCAGGGCCAGCACTGTGCCTTTGAGAGCATGTAGTAGACCTGAGAGTTTATTCCTGTGTTGATGGAAAGTGGAATGTTATTAAATGTGTGTCAAAATTAAAGCAGATGAATGACAAATAGTGAGGGCTTTTGGATCACATCCTCTCTGTGTGCCTTCATCAGTCTTCAGATATGCGGCTGCACCTTTCCTCCATGGAGGGACACGTGGTGCTTCTGACTGCTTCAGGAAATTGTCAGGAAGTCCTTCCTAGGTTTTATAAGCGGTCTCAGGGGAAGATCTGAATCCTTCCTCACATTCATTCATCCACTCAAATAACTTCCTATGTTAAGCCCCGTGTTTTGAGATGGCATATTCTGAGTGCCATCAAGTATGAAATAAACCAAAGGTCTCGGTATAATTAATGACTGTGTTCATATCACGTTTGTGCATGTCATTTTGCATCAACTTTTCAGTAATTCTTGTTTTAAAAGTATTTAGTGATTGAAATATATAAGGTAATTCATCTAACTGAAATGTTTTTCACTAAGACTTTGATACTTTGGTATTCTAAAATGCGCAGGAAGCATGAAGGATATTTAACTTATGAAGTGCTTTGGAAATTTTGACCCTTGTAAGAATGTTGCATTTGGTTAAGTTTGTTGTGATTGCTGTAACTGGTTAAATGCTGAAGCCTGAACTGTCCACAGGAGCCTCCAGAGCACTACTGATGACCAATAGCCTTAGACCTTAGAAGTGCACTAGGAACACAGGACAGACTCCCAAAGGCACAATGCCAAGAAGAACATGCCATTTCACTGACTCATTCTGGAAATTTCTTTGGTGGTTTTTCATATTCACTGGTGGTTTCCAGTGAACTCACTTACCTGCATGGCAGAGTAACCTCACTTTTGCCTTTTCCCATGAATTACTCTGGACCAGCAGTTTCTGCAAGCTGGACACACAGCAAACCTCCTCCCACCAAGAATTCTTACTCTTAGGGTGAGCTCTTACTGAGAGTATCATTCATTTGAAACAAAATTCCGCACAAATTTTTCACAATGCACTTTAATATTAAAATATTCTCTAACTTTCAGAACCACAAGAAAACCCTCTAAGGCAGAAAGCCATGAGTTGATCATGAAAAGTACCAGGGAAGGGCCAATGAGATCGAAAGCTGGGTGGAAGGAAAGAGCTGACTCCTCCTAATTTGTTCATTGACCTCCATATGAACAGAATGACAAAATGGCATGGCGTGTATTGTATGTTCATTCTCTCTCTATCATATGTATGTATGTATTTCTCCATCTCCAAATAAGTAAATAGATAGATGTTATTATTTTTAAATACCAATCAAAAGATTTCTATACACTCATCATATGAAATAATTAATTTTTAAAATAATGAAAAAGATTGCGAGACAGGCCACGTGGCGGAGACAGGCGGACGGACGCAGGTGAGTCCGCGGAGGCGACCAGCGGAGGTGGACGGGCCCGGTGGCAGTGGCCAACAGGGACATACAGGCCCAGCGGGCAGCCGGCAGAGATGTGCGGTCCGGTGGCGGCCCCGTAGAGGTGGATGGGCCACCAGCAGCGGTGACGGGCGGGGGTGGGTGGGCCCGCAGTGGCAGCCAGCAGAGACATACAGGCCCGTTGGCGGCCCGCAGAGGCAGACAGACCCAGCGGCAGCTGACAGGGACGTACAGGCCCGGCGGCGGAGACAGCGGAGGCAGGTGGGCCTGTGGCGGTGGGCCGCAGGGGTGGACAGGCCCGGGGATGGAGAGGGGCAGACACAGCTTGGAACAGGGACGCCCCTGGCCCCAACACCTGGGGAAGTGGCTATCTCCGTGGGTAGGAACCAGGGCGAGTCTGGGCACTCCCTCTGGGGACAACCCAGGGCCCAACTGCTGATCCTTTGAAACCCAACAACTTGGAGGTGTTGGTGAGACTACCCTGCTCAGTTGAAACCCATCTGGGAGAGGATTCAGATGCCCACAGTTTGAAGTCTGAAGAAACAAGATCAGCTGAGGAGTTGACAAATGAACAAAACGTGACCTGGGAACACAGAAGAAGG